GTTGAATGCACTTGAATCTTGCTTCCAATTTTCAAGAACGACTTTGAATCTTCAATAACACTTGAATCACTTCCAGAGAATCTGTAGAACTTTTGAACTTACATATGAATTGTGATGTGTATTTTTTTATTATTGAAAAGTCCCTATTTATAGATGTAGTAGCGAGAATCCTACCAAATTTAAAAATCGTAGGACGCGATTTGATTGGTCCATGATGATTCACATAAGATCTTATGAATTTATTTAAATCTCTAAAATCTTGTAGAAGATATGTGATTTATTTACCAAGAAATAAGATTTGACATTTGACATTATTTGATTGTTTAAGAAATATTAAAATATCAATTAATTAACTATTTAATTTATGAATTAAATATGTGGGAAGTCCTAAAATGTAAATAGAAAATATGACTTGATTTTTAATATATTAATTTCCACGTGGTGCAATTTGATTGGACACAAATTTAACGTATTCTATAAAGTAATCACAAATGCGAGTTTTTACAGTATACTCTAAAAGGGACCACGATGTCCCTCAATTTTCACCTACAACTCGTGGAACAGAGCTACCATACATTTTAGGGTTAGATCTCGCCTAGCGTATGAAGCAACTAGTTGATGGAGCGTGTAGGTTCTTTTTTCCTCTTCTTTCTACCATATGCCAATTCACAGGTCGCAATGTAGTTTATGTCAACGTACAAGCAGGTTGAGTATGTGTCGCCTCCGCCTCTGCTATCATTCTTTTCCAACTCAGTTCGAGTACACTTGGTTAACTTATTCCGCAAGGGGGATTTACTCGAGCTTCCACACTCGTTGGCCCATCTCCTTTATGCGAACCAGTGCCCGCTCATTCCCTTCGATGTCCTCTATGACCTCTAGCACCCGTGTAGGTCCTAACTGCAGACGAGGATGCTCCTCCGATCTCTTATCCGCTCAACATCAATAAGAATATATAATTATATTATCCATATCTATATAAAAAGAATTACCACTTTTAAAAATGGCAAGTCAAACTGTGGCCAAATATGATTGAACATTAATTGCATGCTATTAATAGCAAGTTTTTATTATATTTTTTTATATACAAACGTGCATCATTAATTATTGCGTTTAAATGTAGAGTTTGTTAAGTGGAGTTTGTTATTTATTTTTGCGCAAGATTAGGCTGTTCGTTTTTTATTTTCACAAATTAAAAAAAAAACCTTCTTTAACATATAATCGTGTACCACATTGCTAATTTTATTTTATTAAAAAAATAAATTACGCCTAATTTAATACTATAAACTTACGTTAGTATTTACAAAAAATCAAAAACTCTTTTAACATCAACTCGGCTACTACAATTGTTTTAATCGGATGCTTTTATTTTTTTTTTAATAAATTACAATTCATTTATTTGGTGGATTTGGTTCATTCATTTAAACCCCTAAAAGATAAATTGGTGGATAAGGTTCCATTAAGTTCTAAAAATTTCGATCATTGAATATAATTTGAAAGTAAAAATCCTTTCTCATATTTGATTTAAAATATTCAATTGTGTTTTTTATTCCAAACAATCAGATTGTCAAAAAAATATATTAAAACTTGAATTGAAAATTTGAAATTCAAAATCCCTTCTCATTTTAGTTGCCATAAAATTGTGCTTAATTCAAAATCTCTTCCTAATATAAAGGATTTTGTTCAAATTGAATTAAAAAATATCTAATCACATGCTTCTATCCCTGGATGGCTAACCTTAAATAAAGAATTTTGCGCCATTTTAATATTAACAAACCTCTTGGAAATTACAAAATTATAATGATTTTTTTTTAGGTTTCAATTTGCACGAAATTCAAAATGGTTTAAGAATTTCAAATCAATCGAAATTCATCTCTTTAATTTTTTTCCATAAGTTCAAAATTTTACAATAATTAAGTCAAATTACAAATGTATTGTTTCAAAAATCAAGATGATATAATTTTGAAAATAGACAATTTTTTTTTTCTCAAAATTGTCTTACTCTCCATTCAATATAAAATAAATTCCATTTTATTTGTAAAATGGATAAATCTGCATAAAGCATAGAATTTTATGCGTACAAAATTTCTTTTTACAATAACTAAAAAATAATAATAATTTTGAAATCTTCTGTACTCAAATTATTTAAAAGAATAATAATAATAATTTTAAAATCTTTTGTGCTCAAATTACTCAAAAGAATAATAATAATAATTTTAAAATCTTCTATACTCAAATTTTCAGGTACGGTAGTATTGTCATAATTTTCAGTATCATGTCAATATTTATTTTATATATACTAGGTAAATTTTGTTTCAAAACTTTATAATATATTTATTTAGGCTTATAATATTTTAGATACTTTTATATAATATTTTATCATGTCATATTCAAAAAAATCTTTCGTACGAATGTAAACTTTAATGCTTTTAGATATATTTTCTTTACAAAAAAATTAAAAAAGTTTTAAGTGACTTCACATCTTTTAATAATAATAATATAATAGAAAGTTTAGATAATTTTACATATGTTAATATAACATTTTAGGAGTTTTTAATGTTTAAACATACAAATTTTATGTTCTCTTGAACAAGCTAATTTTATATCGTTTATAATAAACTGATATACCGTAAATTATATGATATCTTAACCCCACATCGTTAATTTATAATTAATATTTAATATCATTTACCATCATCTTGAATTTATAATATTTTTCTTGCACTTTTAAGAAAAGATCAATAGTGGTTCCCCACTTCTTTCATTGGGTGACTCGAACTCGATACTTATTTATAATTATTATTTGGTATTGTTTACCTGTGCATCGCACGGGATACGCACTAGTTTTTAGAGAAAAATGTGCATATATATATATAATAATAATAATAATAACACACGGATAGTTTATATTAATTTTGAAACATGACATTAGAGGCGTACCATTTACAAGTACAACTTGTTATAGTACATTTTAATTTTTATAATAAATGTGTTATTATTATCTTTTTTTTTTTGTGGTAGCCAGTCACGGTATTCGAAGCTTTGTCCCGACTATCGTTGGTCGACCTGAGTCGCACACCTGACAATGGTGGGTGAGTCTACCAACAAAGGTTTTCTGCATTCACAAGGACTCGATAAATGTGTTATTATTTTAAACATATAACTAAAAACAGCTACAAAATATAAATATTTTTAATTTCAAAAATTTTAATGTGCTCAAAAGCTCAACCCTATAAAGTATAAGGGCATGATTGTTTATCATCCCTACAGTAATTTTTTTTACTCAAATTCAAATTTAACTCAACTTTAACTCAACCCCACTATCTCCAATATTATTATATAATTAAATAACATCAACAAATCATTATTACATATCACATCAACTTTAATTCACTATTCATCCACTCACATAATTCTAACTAATTTTAACTAACTATCACTTCCAATCATTTTTCTCCTACTTTACATCAAATCAACTTTAACTATTTTATTTTAAATACTATTTTAATATATCCACTAACAACTAACCATACAACTTTTTTTTAAACTTAACTATAATTAAAAAATTCTAGTTTTTTTACTATTCAAACCATAAACAATCACCCCCTAAACCACTTGACAAAGAAACGTCTCTCCCTAAAAAGACGTACTGTCTTTCCCCCAATTCTTCTGACTTTCATTTTCGTGAGTCAGTTTGCATTACCTCTCTTTTTCAATCTTTCTGCACTCTGCGCATGTCTGTTCCCTTTTTTTTTTTTATTATTATTATTATTATTTTTTTTTCTATTCATTTTGTCTTGGCATATGGCATTATTTTTGCATTTTAGTACCTAAACTTTATCTAAATCTCTCATCCACCCCCAGCTACCCAATTTTAAATGTAAATGATTTTATTTATGGTGAAATGCTAAGGTACCGTTACGGAATCATTCCGTTGAGATTTGTAACCGTTAGATTATCATGTAACCATTAGAGATAGTTGATTACAAATCCCGACGAAATGATTCCGTAACAGAACTGTACCATCTTCCTTATTTACGAACCTATCCAACCAACCTACATTATATTTATATATATATATATTTTAACTTCTCAAGAATATATTATCTTAAATTTGTCATACAAAATTTTAAAAGTTATAAATTATTTTTTATAATGTACTAAATTGATAATTGTGACATTGAATTAAAAATTTTAACATAATTAAAAGGTTTTTTTGGCTAACTCAATTAAAGATGAATTTTGAATTCAACTTTAAGTTGGTTTAGAAAATTTTAAAGTACACGAAAAAATGATGCACGATTGAGATTTCTAACAATTAACTCATTAGTTCGATCAACACGAAGAAAGTAGACAGTAACGGTCTCGTTACGAAACTATTCTGTTGAGTTTATAACCGTTAGATCATCATGTAATCATTTGAAAATAATTGATCTAACAGTTACAGATTCTGACATAATGATTCTGTGACGGAATCGTAACATCTCTCAAAGGCCACGGTACATATTCATAGAACAAATTTTATAGTTTAAAATTTTGGATAATCAAAATATGCAATTTTAACAGTTTTCAAAACAAATTTTGTAATGAACTAGGTCAAATGAAAATCCAAAAGTACGATTTTCCTACCTATTTTGTCTTGGCATCATGTGGCATCAGTTTTTGCATTTTAGTCCCTCACCTTTATCTCAATTCCTCATCCACCCAACTTACGGGTACCCAATTCTGCATTTGGTTTTTCACTTTCTCTACACATTTTGTCTTGTCATATGGCATCAGTTTTGCATTTTAGTCCCTCACCTTGACCTAAATCTCTCATCCACCCCTGCACCCAATTTTGAATGCTTTTTATTTATGAACCTATCAAAAACCCATGTGTTTTTTATATTTATTTCTTTGGTGAACTTGAAGAAGAAAGGACCCATAAAAGTGTGCTTTACAAGTTTCTTTGTATCTTTTTTTCAAATAAGTTCTTCAAAGATAACCCAAAAGGGCTCGAAAAAATGACCAAAGATGAAGACTTTAAGCTTCTTAAGATTCAGGTATTATTCTTTTTAATATTTCTGTAATACCCTTTTTGTTTGTCCTTTTTAGCAATTATTTTTTTTTATTTTTATTTAATTTTATACATATTTTTTTTCACCCTGTAGACCTGTGCTCTGAGAGTGAACATACACTGCAATGGGTGCAAGGAGAAAGTGAAGAAAATCCTACAGAGAATTGAAGGTTTTGTATTATATTGTTTCATTTCTTTTTTCATTTTTCTTGATGTCAAGGAAGTTGAAAGTGCATTTTTCCTTAGTTTAATTCCAAATTGAAGTTAGGGGAGATGCTATGGTCCCGTTACGGAACCATTTCGTCGGGGTTTGTAAACGTTAGATCATCATGTCCATTTGAAATTGTATATTTTGCATGTAAGATCCAAAAGTGACAATAAAATACCAAAACATCATGGTTTAGATGGCTAATTTTGCATGGGCCTGCTCTTTTATGTTGTAATAATGTAGCATGATTATGATTATGTAAGAGGTATAGTTACATGCCATTTTTGCTGTCATTTTACTCTTGAATGGTGTTCTTTTGTTTTTCCTGAATTTGACCATATTGGACTTTGTTTGCTCAAGAATGCTCATGATGTGGATATCTAATTATGCTCCATTTTTTTATTCAATTTGTTAGGTGTTTACAAAGTAATCATAGATGTGGAGCAACAAAGGGTCACAATCTCAGGGATCATAGAATCTAATGCTCTAATCAAGAAATTAATACGAGCCGGAAAACACGCCGAGCCCTGGTCTCAAAAACCTTCGCAGAAATCCACCTGCAGCAAGGATGATGGCAAGAAAATGCCCAAAAGCAATAACATTAATGCCCAAAAGCCCATGAAAAACCTCGAATCATCCCTCAAAACCCAGCAGAAATTCCCCTTCACGACCGAAGGAAATGATTGCTCGTCCGATGAATTTGACGAGGAGCACGAAATGCAGCTCTTTATGGAGAAGATGAATCAGCTTGCTTTCCTTCAGCAACAATCTGAGGCGAATACCAAGAAAGTTAACGCCGGGGGGACCTTCAATGGCCCGGCCGGTAAAGGGGGGAGCCCGATGACTCAGAACATGGTCTTGAGGGGAAAAAACCAAAATGGGCTTGCTGAGCAGAAAATGTTTAAAAATGGGGTGAATGTGATGATGAGTAATAATAACCCACATTTTGGGGGTGCAAATGTGAAAAACCATGGTGAAGGGAGTAGTGAAATTGGAAACATGATGAGCCTTGCCGGTTTTCACGCAAATGGGGTTAACGGGCTGTCCAATAATCCGAGTTCGCTCGGGATGTTTAATGCGAATGGTCACGGTTTCAATCAATTTCATCATCCAGCATCATCTGCCATGATGATGATGAATTTGCAGAACAGGGCCCAGCAGCCTCAGATGATGTACAATCGGTCCCCGTTCGTACCCCCGAGCACCACCGGGTATTACTACAATTACGGTCCGGTTCCTTACCCTACAGTTCCGTACAGTTCGATCGAGCCTGAGTGTGCCCGTTCGGGTTATCCTGCTCATGATATGTTTAGTGATGAGAACACAAGTAGCTGTTCAGTCATGTGAGAATTTGGGGAAGTTGTTTTAATTTATCTGAATTAGTGTTTTGTAAGGATGGTTTTGGGCTGTTTTGTGAAGTTTTAGGATGTTTGATTCTATTTTAATTTAGCTGATATTAGTGTAAGTTATTTAAGTACTATGTTTCCTTTGTTTAAGGGATGGACTTTGTTGGCACTTTAAGCTTGTATGGATTTCAAGATTGTAATTTGTTTTGGGTTTTTTCCTAATTACAGTATGTATGGAAGTGTGGTAAATTATATGGCAGTTGTGTTTGTTTGTTTGTTAATGCTGTAGAGATTTATGATACCACCATATTTGTGCAGTGGGGGTAGGAATAGTTGTGGTTAATAAATAATGTAATGGTACCCAAGAGCGCTTGGATGAGATGACTTGGGTCTCTTCCAGCTTAACTAGTGGTCTCGTGTTCGAGCCCTGAGAATGCAACAGTTTTAAAACTCTTGAGGGAGAGCTTTGCCGCCATTGTGGTCTTACCCGGCTCGATTCTGGATTAGTCGGTTCCTCTGTGGATCCGGAAATCGGAAGGTCTCTGTACAAAAATAAATAAATAAATAAATAATGTAATGGCGCCATTTTTGAGTAGGTGAGCGTGCACCTTGTCTATGTTGTGTAGGTGGGCATTTGTATGGAAGGAGAAGATATGTAAGATCATCACCAAAAACTCATTTTAAGTTTATTTTGCAGTAACTGTTACGTTAAACAGTAATTAATCTTTAACCGAAGAAACCATCCCAAACTCAAAAGAATATTATCGAATTATTCTTCTTTACATTTTTTTGATACTACTCATATATTTTACAACTTTGCAAATGAAATCACACTATTATTTTAAATTCAATTTGGACTTTATGTAATAAAATTAATTATAAAGTTATAATCATATGCATAATAAAATTGGAGAAATAAATACTGATTAAATATTAAAATTTAAAAATTACAACACACAAAATAAAATTAAAAATTACAATACACAAGATGAGAAATTAAAAATTACAACCCCACAAGATAAAATTTAAAATTACAATGCACAAAATGAAAATTTATAAATTACAACAATCAAGTGAAAATACATAGCCTTCAAACCTCGGAATTGTGAATTCCTCCACAAATGACCAATAAGTGCATTCTGAAGTGCAGTGTGTCATCTTTATTTTTAATTCTTTTGTACCGAGATATGAATTCTTGAAACCGAGTACTATCATCTATTGTCATTTCGACCTCTGGCGGTGTCGTTTCCATCTCAGTTTGATTGGTGCACTTAGATCACGTTCATCCTCGACAATCATGTTATGCAAAATTATACATGTGATTATGATATCATGTAGCACTTCTTTTTTCCAATAACGTATTGATCATGTTATAATGCCAAA